TTCTTTGTCCTAAGTTGACTCCAGCATCATAGATCAGGGTCCTGACCAAGAGTTCAGATGTGTAGACCTATCTTACTATTTGCATAACCTGATGCACAACACCTGTCACCATTTGACACCCTGGGAGTAAGAATGGGATCGTCCTCTTTTTGTATGCATGACAGCAGCTTTTGAGCGTGGGAACAATACGTGTAATTTTGCCTGTTTGAAGTTTGCTCTTTCAAACTCTGGCACTGGAACTCATCAAGGAAACAATGTTTAATGCCTGCAGAGTTTATGAGGAAAACAGCTGTGCATGCATGTGTGAGAAGAAGAGCTCGAGTGATAAAACAGTCCCCTCAAATGTACACGAGGTCGCTCACGCTCCTTTAATCAGTCTTTCCAGGTTTCCTTTTACTCGCTGCTTTTGTTCTCATTTACTCAAATTACACTGTGCACACATCAAGCAAGGGCATATTTAATTATAATTAACCTATGATTATTGTTCACTGTTGAATGGTACAAAAATGCTGCACAGCGCATCAACATATGGATGGGCAGAGCTATTCTAGGGAGGCAGCTGTTCTGCCACAAGACTCCAAAGAAGGCAAACTCGATGGTTCAGCAGAGAACCTACTGTTCACAACGAGTGTCAGAAAGCAAGAAAAGAAGAAGAGGAAAAAGAGAATTTTAACAACTTTTAATGATGTCCTGGTATTTTTTCAACGAATGTCTATAATTTCTATTCCTTTTATCCTTATTTACAAAACAAACGAGGTCTTGTTCCTTTTCCAAAGTAAACAATATCTTCAATTTTATAGGATGCAGTAATTGGCTCATTTGTAACCTTCTGGTTTACATCTGCAGTTTCTGATTGTTCGCATAGACAATCAAAAGATGCAAATGCAGAATAATGCATCATGTTGCTCTAGTTTAATCAGTGGACTTTTTATTTTTCTCTGTGGATATTATATGAAGAAATAAACAAGCTGGCTGAAAGTCATGTTCAAATGCCAGCGGAGTTCCTTTCAGCGTGTGATTCACAACTTTTCACTTTGAAGAGGGAATTATATAAATATATACATATTTATGTCTATACTATATATAATCCTGCCCTCCTCCCACTCAGAAGCTTCTGCCCCAACATTTGTCACTCATCATGATAAGCTGTCTACATTCAATAAATGTCTAAAATGAGGCAAAAATAACAAAGTAAACCAAAAATACAGTGAAAGAACAAAAGTAAAAAAACCTGATCTCCTACATACTTATCAGCATATACAGTGCTGTGTTCCTGAGTTCCTATTTTTTGCATATTTGTCTTACATGTTTCAGATCATCCACTTCAATGTTAGATATTGATGACCCAGGTAAAGAAAATGTTTTATTTCATTATGAAGGCAAAAAGGTGATCCAAACAGTCCCGACCCTGCGTGACAACAAAAGAATCGTCAGTAATCAAAATAATAACAGGTGGAGCAGGTCATCTGCTCACTGACAGGTTGGTGGTTTGATTCCTGGCTGCTCCAGTCTGCATGGTAACACATCCTTGGACAAAGATACTGAACCTTACATTGCTTTCTGATGTTTTCATTGGACGGCGAATGTCAGATAGAAAACATCAACCTGTGAATGAGGCATGTTGAATAAAGCACTTTGAGTGACTGAGTACAAAAATGCTTTATGTGAATCAGTCTGTTTAAAACTGATAAGCTTGGCAATAAGGACTCAAATCAGTGTTTTGTGATAACAGGCAACAGGCTTTTCACATTGCTGTGGAGGAATTTTGGCCAAATCTTCTTTGCAGAATTGCTTTAAGAGCACAAACGGCCTGTTTAACATCACACCAAAGAATTTCAATCAGTCTAGGCATTTATTGGACCACTCCAAAACCATCATCTTGTTAGGGTGCCTGGGGCGTCGACCCAGTGTTTTGTGTTTTTGGTTCTTTGGTTTAGTTTATTTCTTTAGATTCTAGCTTTCTTTGTTTTATAGGTTATTGGATTATTTTAAGTGGAGTTTCTTTGTGTGGGTTTTGTTACAGTTTTAGTCTTCTGGTTTTCTGTCTGTGATCCATAGTTGCTGTTGCCCTTCGTCAAGTCCGCGTCTCTGTGTTATGTTTCCTGTTTTGCTTCCCCTGTCTCGCTAGGCCTGATTTGTCCCTGCTGTGTTTCCCTCCTGTCTCGCATTCACTGATTGCTCCCTTTGTGTACTTAAGCCCTGTGTTTTCATCTGTCTGTGTTGCGATCTACCCTCATTCATGCTGTGTGTTCTGCTGCCTGAGTTTATTCATTGTATTTTGAGTTTGTTACTTTGAGTTCAGCATTAAAGCTGTTTTTTGTCTCCGGAGTCTGCACTCTGGGTCCAGCGTTCCTGCCTGCACACAGCCTCAACATGACAGATTTTGGTTTTTAAAGACATTCAGAGGTGGACTTGCTGGTGAGTTACGGTCATTGTTCTGCTTCATATCTTAAGTGCAGTTGAGAGAGCAAATTTCATGGCCACCCGGGTTCTGAACCGGAAAGAAGCCCCAAACCATCACCCTACCACCGCCGTGTCTGACTGTTGGTGTGGTGTTCTGCATTAGTTTTATGCCAGATGAAACATGAAACCAGCCTCCCAAAAACTTCATCTTTGGTCTTCTTAGTCCACAGAATATTTTCCCAAAAGTCTTGGGGATCATTAAGATGTTTTGGGGTTTGTTTTTTTTTGCACATGTCAGATGAGTCTTTGTGCACTTTTTGGTCAGCAGTGGTTTTTGCCTTGGGACTCTCACATGGATGCCATTTTAGCTTATTGTTGAACCATGAACACTGAGCTGAGGTAGATCCTAATAAATAAAATTATATTTCAACAACTCCATTTCATATTTACATGAGATAGTTTTGATCTGAAACAGCGTGACAAATATGCATAAAATAAAATAAAAATTCAAAATACGACTAAAAAAAATACTGAAAAAGAAATCAGCAAGGACGGAAAAGGTTTGTGACCGCGCTGTATACCAAACTGTGTGCACAAATGTAAAATATAGAAATACGTTCTTTTTTTATTGTGATAACTGAATTTAATATAATTTCTATTTTGCATTGATGTTAATAAATTTTTGAAAAGTTTAAAGACTCCACACAGCCTTTGAAGTCCGTCCAAATAGAGAAACAATAATTTTATCAATAAATTTAGTTAACAAGTGTTTCCAGTATGAGTCCTTCTTTATATTAAGGGCAGAAAATCATCCAATCTATTACAGTTTCATAAACTCTGTCACTGCCAGATATTCATGTTTTTATCTGAAATATGGCAAATAATGATAAATTCTTTTTGCCACTGGTGAAACGTTAACTAAGCGTGAAGGATAATTCTGGTTTATTTCACTTTCCTGTGGCTCAACCAACTCAGATTGAAAGACCACTCAGCAGAGCAGTAGTTACTCAGTTTTCCCAGCTTTTGTAAAAACCCAGTATAATTTACCAGTAAAGATAAGTGTGCCTCTGACAGTCCTGCATTGTAGTGATTTCTTCACTTATTTTGGCTTCTCTGTGAAGGAATTCAGAAATAGTGGTTTCAGTTTTCTGCCAATGCAGGAGAGATGATTGGAGTTTAAAGAGAAGTATTAATTATTTCCACAATACCAATAGAGTCAAACACACTAATGAAAATTGAAGGAGAAAGTACATGAAGGTGGCTTGAAGTCAGTTTCATATGCCCGAGCAGAGCACTGATGGTAAGGTAACAGGAGCAAAAGAGGTCCAGGTATCAGAAGTAAGCAAAGTGTCAGCGTGATGAGAGGATGATGGGGAAATATTAGACCTGATGGCAGCGACCTTATTTACAAAATAGTTCAAAAATTCATTACAATCAGATTTCGTAGAAACTGGTACACGAGGAATATCAGACAATATTCTTATCAAACAACATTTTAGGATTGTTCTTTTTTGAAGCTATAAGATTTGCTAAATATTCAGTTCTGGCATTTTTTATCATGTCGCTAAGTGAGAAAATTGATTCCTTGAGATGAACCTGATGAACCTCAAGCTTGGAAGCCTTCCATAAACATTCTAACTTGCAACAATATCGCCTAAAAGTTTGATTAGTTTCATTTATTCAAGGACAGAAATTTGAAGAATGGACAACACTTTGTTTCAGAGGTGCCACCGTATCTAAAATAGATTTGCATTGATTGTTAAAAGACAAAATAAGTGAGTCGATGACACTATGAGCCATGCCCGAGTCAAACAGCAGAGCCTTTGGATCATTAGTTTGGGAGGTGAAGGATCCAGGTCAACCAACAAACCAAAAAATATGCAGGGATGGTCACCCACATGCACATATGTTTAAATCCAGTGTGTGGCTCTTTGCACATACAGTACTACCAGCAGGATGCTTTTTTTTTTTAAAACTGATGATTTAAAAGTCCAAACAGCCAAGTTACCAATTCTTGCTCGGAAGAGGCCACCAGTGGATAGAAGAACAGTCAAACATCACATGCTGCAAAGAACAAGGGAGCCATACTAATCAGATAATGAAAGGATTTCCACTCTCTGAATAAGTGTCTCACTGTAACATACAGCAAATGCATAATTTATGGTTTTGACCATGACTCCCAACATGCAGCTCAGCACACTGACCGTTGGAGCTGTCATTTACTTGCATGGATGTCCCATTAAATGTTTTCCATTTCAGGGATTTATTCAAACTACCGTATATCATAAGCATTTCTAATGAGAATAATGCCTGAATTGGTGTGTGTGCTAATCACCTTGTGGTTACCCCTGCTGTCAGTCCTTTGACTCAGACCGCGCCATTAATAAGTCAGGTTTCCACTGTCGTGCAGAGAGCAGCGAGGAAGATCACAAACCCATTCAGCCTTTTCCTCAGTACGATCAGACTCTGGCTGGAGAAGCTTAATGAAATCAGAGCCTGATGCTTTAAAGCAGAGTAGCAGTAAAAGGATAATCCCTAATGCTCCAATGCTCCACACACACACACACACAGAAATATACATGAGAACACACACTCACCTGTGGTATCTCTTATTGATTTCCATCTTCTCAATTGCCCAGCATTAGATTTCTCTTTCGGCTCAACGTTCATAAGAGACAAAGCAAAGGAAGCAGCACGACAAAAGGCCACGTAAATGTAAATGTGTCTCATGATCGAGCACGATGACTACCCCACTTCACCAAAACACCCTGCGCATTTCATTGTGTTTGCATGACTTGTTGGAAAGTGAGAGCGAAAAGTGCAGCAAAAAAAACAAAAGAAGTTCTCTGCTTTTAAGCCGAGTGTTTGAGAAATGCTCTCTTCTCCTCTCACTCGCCTGTCTGGGCTTGTAGAGCCAGTTAATGATTCACACTGGGAACAAGAGGTCCACAAAGGCTTGCAGTGATACAGCAGAGGAGACTGTTATAGAAAGCTAGGTGTGTGGGAGGGAGAAGTCCACTCTGTCCGTTTCACTCAGCCGCTCGTTCTTTCTCTGCTGCACGTCGCTGACATCAGTGGAGAGCGAGAGAAAAGAAAGACAGTAAGTGTGCAATTGTGCGTGTCTGACCTCATGATGCTTCCATGCAAGCCGTTCATGTGGGCAGGTAAATCACACAGAGGATTTGAGACTGGAAAAAGGTTGAGGAGTTGTTTACAGCAGCAGATAGGAGTGTGTGTGTGTGGGGGGGGGGCTTTGTAATGGTGACTAAGTGTGCTTTTGTGTGTCCGTGTATAAATAATATTGTACAAGCACATGTATGTGTACAGTATGTGATCTGTAAAGAAGCTTTTTTTGCATTTTTGGTCATTTTTGTGTTTTCAAACACTGAATTTATTTTGGATTTTCTCTCTTCCACACACAAAGTAAATATCCAAACAGGCCCAAACAGACACAAGCAAACTGTACTTTGAATAGATGATGCTGGTAACACCAACAAGCTTGTGGAATACTTCTGGTTGGATATTTGACCACTCTTCTTGGCAGAACTGGCTTTTAAGCATAGTTAGAAATGTTGAGTGGTTTGCGATCGGTGCTTTGGGAAGGCTGTCCAAGAAACTTAACGTTAGCCAAACTCAGCTTTTACATGTTTTTGGAATTATTGTCCTGTTGTGTTGTTTTAACCATCGAGCTTTTGATTCCATGTGAAGTTCAAGAACTGGGAGGTAGGGTCCTCCATCATCACTATTCCAGCTGGCAGCAAAACAACCCCAGAGTGTGATGCTACCACCACCATGCTCGACAGTGTTCTCAGGTTAAAAGTCTCACCTTCACTCCTCCAAACATACAGGTTGTCATTGTGACCAAATATCTCAATCATAAAACATTTTGTTCCTCCGTGTGGGCAGGTTCTTTTTTTCTATAAAAGAAGCGTTAAGAGTCCAAAATGACCATGAGACCATGAAACGACCACAACTGAATGTCTCTAAGGCCCATTTTCTCAACACTTACATGCAGGAAAATTTTCAGTTTTACGAAACAAAAGTTTATGAATGTCGTTATAGTGGGACTTCTGTCAACACCTGATTCATAGAGCATTATATGGATGGACTATTTGTGGCAGTTCAGAGTATTGAGTGTAAAAAAAGAGGTTCCTCTGTGAAATCACAATGTCACCAAAACCAAACAAGGATTTAAACCCAGGAATTATTATTATGTTCTTGGATATTAATGATAACCTCCTAATACACAGGAAATAACTGTCTTAGTGTGAGGAGTTAACTGGGAAAGTTTCATGATGACATCTTACATTTAAAATTCACTTTCAGTAGCTGGGACCACATCCTCTGAACGATGAGCAGAGGCATGAGGGAGTATGAACTGGTGCTGCGGTTTGGGGAAGGCCTCGAAGGGGACTGGCGAAGGCTCCCGGGCCGGGCAGAACCCCATGTACTAACGAGAGGTGAATGAAGGAAGGTAGGAGGAGAGAAGAGGAGAAGAGAGGGGAAAAAAGGGGGGGCATGAAAATGACAACAGCAGGTATTGGAGAAAGAGGCATACATAGTCTGAGGTTGGAAGGGGCGTGAAGGAGGAGTGGTCCCGCTCCTGTAATTCAGACGATATCTCCACTTAAAATGTTGTGAAATTATGAAATTGACTGTTTTTTGTCTTGTTTTGTTTTTTCAGTAATTATCCTGTTCCATCCTACTTCATTTTACCGTGTATATTACCACATGGTCATTTAAAAGTATATTTTGTCCGTGGAGCCATTTCTCTGGGTGCTTGTGTTTTTTCCACATCTTTTCTTTTGCTTTTGCTTTTCCCCGTTCCTATTTGCCTTCATTCCTCTTTTCCCAGGTTTCACCTTCAGATTGGTTGCGTCTCTTCCAGCTCTCGTATTGATGACACAAAAAGAAACATTGTAACCTTACCTTGTCATTCTTTGCCACATTTCAGGGATAACAAGCAATGTAACGGGAAAAATAAATATGGGTTTTGTGTAATAATGTATTTGATTCAGTCTGTCTCAAATAACAGTAAAGTAAGATGTTTTTGAGCATTTCTTTCTATTTTAATATTCAGGCAGAGGGTTCAGATACTCTTGTCTCCTGGTGCATTAAGTCTAATCTTCCCTCTCTTATTGATGTATTTTTGGTTTCCTCTACATTTCACATTTTTATTTGACCCACTAGAAATGTAAAAATAATAATTAGAGTCGACTTAATTTCTTTACATTTCTAATCTGATGTTATCTGATGTATCTAATCCAAGATGCATCAGTTAACATCGGGCCTTTTAGAAAGCTCTACAGGCGTTATACAGAGTACACAGAAATAGTTTTGCACACACGTGCATTAGATTTACATTACAGGAAATACAGACTGTGGCACATGTTGCTGTAAAATCAGTTTCCCGACAGCATCAAACATGACAGCCGTGCATACGTCTGTGGAGGACAGTGTTTGAAAGAAAGGTGTGAAAGAGGTAATTGTTATTTTATTGTGTCAGAATAAAGGTTTACTGTGATGGAGAGGCCAAAAGATTTTCATCACCTGAGCCGTGCACGCTAAATATCCTCACAGCCTTTTAACGCTTTATTTCATCTTTATGTTATTTTCCTCCATCTTTGTCTTGTTGTTGCTTTTCTTCCGAGCCACTTTCTGCACATTCATCCTTACTGCTCCTTGATCCCCTCAACTCTCCCTCCCCCTCCTTCACATCTCCTACTCTGTTTTCTCACCCTCCAACCATCAGGTTTCTCTCTCGGGGTGAAGCAGGGGAGCACACCTTTGGATTTCTGAAGGACTGACAAAATTTGTGTAAAAATGTCACTCACCCCTTGCCACATACTGTAAACTCACTACACTGTGAAACATCACATATGCACGCCAACCACCTTCAGAAACATATCCTATCCTAAAATGCTTTAATGGCTCCAGAGTTGAATAGTTTGGTAAGGAAAGATAAACTACACATCTCTGTTGGTTTGCCTCACAGAACATTACATTTAGCAAATTTGAGCGCTAGTACTACGCTTGTAGTTTGTCTCCCTTTAATAGACTCACCAGCTTTCTTGGCAGTGATACTTACCTTATTGCCTCTCTGGTGGTTTGATGCCAGGCGGCGGTTTTTCAGCCTTATTCATTGTATGGCTACATTAGAATACATCGAAGCCAAAATAATGTGTTTATGAATGCCAATGTATCATTAGTGAGTACAGTAATTTTACACAGCCAGAAAGATAATAAATAGAATTTAAGCCATTGAAAATTTTCTAATAATGTCATGTTTAATACTTTCATAAGTGTGATTAGAGATCAAGTGCAAACACTGTCACAGCAGCACAGGCTTAGTTTATTTAACTATCCAAGTATCCAGTGACAGTGGCTTGGCTTTCACAATGACCCTGCTGAAGCAGCAATCATTGCTAGTCCCATTAATCATGAAAATGTCTTTATATGACATGTATAAAAGTTTGCATTCAAAAAGCATCATCTTGATGACACAAAGGCAACTTGTATCTGTTTATTTGTATTTTGTTTGGTATGTTTTCCTGCCAACATAACAACAAAGCTGTAGATACAGCTTCATTCCCCACACTGGTAACAGAAATTTACAGCTGATTCAAAATATTTTTTTTGACATTTATTCAAAAAAGAAAATGTATTTGTATTTTCAAATATTTCAAATAGATTTTAGAATTGAAAGTCTCAGTAGGCAGAAATCTAGAAGATGTTTGAACATGAGCGCGTTTTGAATGCATATAAAAACGTGGTATTCAAACCTCACGCATCACTCTTTACAACAATCACCTCATCTGGCAATTGGACAAAGTCTCCCATCACATGCCAGGTTTTCCAAGGCCTGAGTACAGAGCATAGAGGAGGCCACTCTCAGACCTTACAATATTCTGATCACTGCTGCCAAAAACATGCTAAACCACTACTGGAAAAAAATCAGTTGCAATAAAGCTGTATGATATGATAAAGATAGAAAGGTACTGGCAGCACACAGTTAGCTGGCTTCGAGAACAGAGGACAACGTTATAGGAATGCCTACACTGCTGCTTTATTTTACTTCACTTTACAATGTCAAAACAAAGCCACAGCATTACAGGCAGCAGAGAGCAGCAGGACACAGTTATCATAACCTACTTCAACCTGTTACTAAAGGAAAGCAGTCTGGAGATTCTCTAATGCCATCATATCATAACAGGAAGCCGCTACCTCGCAGTGCCATACTGTGCTATAACTGAACCACAGGGTCCTTGACATTTATTGAGGTAAGTGTGTAGCAACCATGTTGTTTTGTAAAAGCAGAGATACTGAAAACAAAGACACTGGGATAAGAATCTCCATGATTTCTGTTAGTATTTATTGTTAGTTTAGACTAGGCCAAAGTAAAGAGTCATGCCTTATGTGATTATTTCAGTTATTTCATTATTGATGGGTTTATAACAAGGTCAATTGTTTCTGGAACTAATGTATTTTAAACAAAGCAGATTAATATCACATACTCAGCTGTCTCGATGAATTAATATTCTGTAAATTTGATGTTTTCTGTTGAACACTTTGAGTGACATTGAACATCTCTCCTCATTATCCAGGGAGAACCTTTTAATTTATGAAATTAAAAACAAGAGTAGTTTAATGAACTTGTGTATCTGCTCTGACTTCCAGCACGCGACTAATGATTATCGGTGACTTAATGTCAGGAAGCTCTGCAGAAGTTGATGTTATCTTGGCGTGCACATCACACAGATGACCTCTGGATAAATCCTCATCAGCCACATGCTCTGCAATGTGCTATAAAGCCTGAGGTCATCACGCTAATGCAGTATCATAACATGCAAATGAGTTCAATACCCACCAGTGAGAGTCAGTAATGGTGTGTAAAACCTATGGACTGTAAAGTATTGCAGACAGCCACTCTGCCTCCTTCAAAAGTAACGGTGGGAGGAAATCAGTTTGTTGCTGATGGCCATGAGGGTTTTGACCCATATCATCATCATCATCATCATCATCACCTTCAGCACTGTCACATCTAGCACTGTCCTCCTCCTCATCATCATCATCCTCCTTTCTATTCTGGCTTAAATCACCTATTCAAAAGAGAGTTTGGGGGCTAATAATGATGTTCAGTGGTACAGTACACACGGCCCCTTTGTTTCATGTCTTTCAGCATAAAAAGACAATGTAACGACCTCACCTGAGAGCAGAAAATAATGTTCTGCTTAACTGCCAGATTAGATGAGGTTTAATTTGAATCTCAATTGAGGCATAAAAACAGAGGGAGGGAGGTGAAAAAGAAAGATGATTTGTGTGTAGAGGGGCTGGATTGATTAAAATGTTCCACAAAAAGGGACTGCAATGAAGGTGAAGGTATTGACCTCAATCTAATCCTGAGCTAATTGCTCAGGGAATGGAGGAACTGAGTGTGAATGCACAAAGCCCTGCTGTCTTCATCTGACCCTAAAACACTGAGCAAGTCTGAGAGGTCTTTGGGTTAAAAACACATTTGAAAGTTTGAGGAAATCTTCCCCCGTCTGCTGCTTTTTCTCTCGCAGTTTGTCTTAGAGAGGAGAAAACAGCTGGCGTGAATGTATCTGTGTGTGTGTGTGTTTGTATGAGCGTGCTGCATGCGTGACCTTCCATGCCGATTGCAAATAGAGGAGAGAAAGCAGTAGAGTGCTGCCGAAGCAATCATGAGGCAAAAGAGCCTGTGGAACTGCAAACACACCCGTACAATCACAAGCACGCACACACACTCCTCTGAGCCAGAGAACATATGGGCAAACAACACGAAATGCTAGCTATTCAGTCCTAAATTGAGGGCCAGCTGTGGCACACTGACAAGGTGGATATTTCACTGTGGGCCTGCACTCCTCTCTATTAAACTAACTTATGGAGTCATTTAATGTGGCTCAGAAGTGGCTCGGGGTGCTGGTGCTGGTGGAAGAGGGGGAAGCAGCCACAATGGCTTTCTGAAAGCATAGCATAGCATAACATGCATTCCTGATTGCAGTGAACTAAAAGTATTTTGTTATTATTATTACTTGTTCATTTTTTATTAAATTATTTCTATAAGCCCAGCTTATCCTCAACACAAGAAATGCAATTTAGAGAGTTTACACAAACACCGTTACAACAAATGTTGGGTGTTTTTGCTTGATAATTTAAATACCGCTTGAAGTCAGTTATGTTTTCTAATCACTTATTTTTAATTACTAATAACCATCCAATCCAATATGCAACAGACTGGCCACCTGTCCAGCGTGCATCCCACTTATTGCCCTATGGTAGTTGGGATAGGCTCCAGACCCACCACCATCTCAACGGCGAATGGATGGATGGACGAATGGATGGATGGACGGATGGATGGATGGATGGACGGATGGATGGATGGATGGATGGATGGATGGATGGATGGAAAGATGGATAGACGAATAATGGATGGATGGATGCATGGATGGAGGACCAGATGGACGGATGAATGGACAAATGGATGGATGGACGAATGGATGGATGTATAATGTATGGATGGACAGATGGATGGATTGATGGATGGACGAATAGACGGATGGATGGACAAATGGATGGATGGATGGACGGATGGAGATTGGATGGATGGATGGATGGATGGATGGATGGACAACTGGACGGACGGACGGATGGACGGACGGATGGACGGACTGTTTGTCCTAGTCTCAGTTCTGATCGAGGATGATTTAGCATAACCCAACAATTTAATGACAATGGGGGATTTTATGCAATGGTAAAGTTGCAGAGTCAGTGATGTTTTGCTTTCTGTCATATCTGTGCATGCCCATTACAAAGTCAGAGAGAGACTTTTACTAAAAAACTCAATTATTTTACAATATACCAGTAGAGCAGAACTACTGCAAAGCTTAAATCTCATTTTCTTCTTCAGAAATGTGTTTTTAATAGTCCTGAAAAGTAATGAAGGAAAAAAGTGGCATGGCTTGTCAAAAGCGGTGCCGTTAGATATATATTTTACTGCGGCGTGACCTTCTCAACGCTCTGCCTACTCTATGTGAGTAAAAGGAAGTTGACGTTTATGTAAAAGTCTTTTTATTCTCATGTATTGTCCTGTCCTTGTATAAGCTGTTATTTAGTTGCCGTTTTAGTCATTTGGGTTTCAGTGAAGTGCATCCATCAACATGACAGGAAATACTGGAAACATGAACAAAGGTCTCTGACAATCACTTTCCATCAATTTCACCCATTTTGATCCCATTATTTACTGTATTGTTTCCTCTTTGTGGGGGTAATTTTCTTCATATCACACAAGAATCTGTATATCTGTTGGTGACCTGCAATTTTCCACTTTGACAGGCGTCAAAAAACTGTACCATAACTATAACTGTATTGATATAGACAGTCAGTAAAAGCCAGTAAGAAATCTCTTATAGTACTGACTTAAAAAATAGATGTCACGGCCAGCGGGGCGAGCCGTGTGTAATATATTAAAGGACCCAAGACGCAGGCACTAGTGATGTGAGTGGACTTTTATTGAGGAGGATGACGTACAACAAAAGGCAAAGGATGGCGAGAACAGAACTGAAAAAACCTAACTGGGAAAACTAAGAATAAAACACCTAGAGACACAAACGGAGATGCAGGGAGACGTAGACAGATGCAGGGGGAAACACAGGATGACAGAGGGAGATTACACACAGGTGGGGAACACAGCTGGAAGTAATTGACGAGACAAGGGAAGGGAAGCAAAACTGAATATACTCACATAAGACACGGACCTTCACAATAAAACAGAAAACAGGAAACAAGAAACAACTACACAAAGACGCAGAGTAGACACAGAACTAAACCTACACTAAACATGAGACACCAAACCTAAGAACGAATCCCGTAACAAGAAGAAACAGAAACAATAACGAGTTTTCAATAACGAACAACTGACTTCTTCTTAGCACTGATATGATGTACCATCTTCCTTAAAACTCATTGTTACTGATTATTCATTGCTTTAAGCCGAGCATTTAGTTCTTTGCTTTTGACTGCGAGTTCTACGTTTGCCCTTTATTCTGTTGGAAGCTGCTGCTGCTCTGTTTAGCTGCCTTAATTCATGTCTTTTGGGATGTGTGAAAAAAAATCTGAACAATCTGAGTCACACATTTTAAAGCCAGTGTCAAAAACTTTTGTCTGAGGAAAACAACTTTCCGCTTGACATTCTCCAGCTCTTGTGCATCGAAATTGTGTGTTTGCTGAACACTTCACTTTCTTCTGTTATCGTCCCTTTCATGAAGTATCTGTTTATCGTCTGGCTCCACTGTAACTAATGTCCTCGTTCTACTAACATGACACTTGCTATACTGCATTCTCCATCATGATAGACAGCACACACCCACATGAGTGCACACTCGCGCGATGTGTAGCTTGCAGGCATCAAAACACCATATGAAGGAAAAAAAACTGGCATCACCAACAAAAAGAACCTGCCCCCTATGCTGGGCTCATGATTCCAAAATAAATCTGAGTGAGAAGGAGATGATGCAAAAAAGAGCTATTTGGCCATCTGTGGACTCGATCTTCAGATGTTGAAATGTCAGTGAGAGCAAAGAAAAACATGAACTCCACAGGGGAACAGTTGGTGAGCAAGGGCAATGTTTATCCCGAAGGAGACTTTGATAAAAATAAGCCTTTCTATTACGAAACAGACTGCAGCATCCCGTCTCATATAGAGATCAGTGCATAAAGCATCCAACAGAGTGTTTTCGAGATTTACTGAGTGACCTGCACTTTGGTCTGTTTGGTTCTGACCTCCAGGCTGCTGCAATAGACCCTGTGCACGAGAAAATGCTAACTTCCTGGTTTGAGACCGGATGTGAGGTTGTACATTTCCGGTAGCTTTACTTTGCGGTCAATCGCTACTGTGAAGATATCCTCCAAAATCATGTCCAAAACTCGAAAAAAGGAAAGATGGCGTTAAGTTACTAAGAGCAGAAGGTGGGAACACTCACCACTGTTGTGTCATGGAAAATCGAATGATCAATTATGACGTTTAAAGAGTTTAGATCGATCAGCTGTTTACATCACTCAACACAAGCAGAACTGCATCACTGCAGCAGAAGACACATCGTCCACATTCAGAAGCAGTTCTCTGTATAGTGACTGGTCTCATGATCTAAACAGGCAAACGTTCAGCATTCAGACTACAGGTGAAGAACAGTCAAACCAGATGTTTCCCCGTTATGTCGATATCAGCTAGTCAAGTACACACCTACACAGCATGTTAACAAACCCTGAAAAAAGCCACACAAAAATGAATGATTGCTGGTAACGGTTTCTATACATTAGTATGTACGAAGAGTATGTTGTGACTTACCTTCAAAATTACAGCGGTCCCTCGCTATAACGCGGTTCACCTTTCACCTCGCTGTTTCGTGGATTTTTTAGTGCAAGTTTGCATGCCTTTTTTTTACGTCACATTGTGTCCTGCGTCCTGATCGCTGCAGACGATCTCCTCCGTGACGTCTCTCCTGTACAGTACAGAATCGCTGCATCGATCGCTAGCAGTGTGACTCTGCAGTGCAGCGCTGTATGTCCTCGAAACATTTTGCACCGTCAAAAAATAAAATCGGCTACTTGATTTCACCTCTCGCTGGTTATTTTTAGAACATAACACCCGCGATAAACGAGGGACAGCTGAGAAATATAACATTTGAATCCCTTTTCTCTTTTGCTCTGAGGCGCGGGGGAAAAATATCGACAAGTCGATGAACATCATTTACAGATATATTGGGTAAATGCCCTAGACATCTATAGAAATGTAAAGCGCCGCTTGATTCATTCATTTGCATAACTTGTTTTGGACCGTAAACCAGGCGCGAATTGGACACCGGAAACAAAGCTCCCCACAGAAGTTTCCAAACCAGAAGTAGCACATGCTAACGTGCACATAGTCAATACTCCAGATAAGTCCATGAGATCAGGACTTTGAGCTTCAGTCTTTTGGGTCATTTCTTCCTGGTCGTGCTGAGCTGAGTGGCACTTGGCATTTTATGCCCGTCAAACTCTTTGATCGTTGGAATTTTTCATAAATTTTACTAAAGAAATGGAAACAAACCCTATGATTTTGTGACAAAGTGCCTAAGCATGCAATTTAAAATAGTTTATTTGCTAAGGTGCTACAGACACCATTTCATCCTATAAGTTTGACTCCTCTTTATGCTTAAATGATTCACAGATCAGTGATATTAACAAAGGAAGGAACACAAAAGAGCTGAACTGAAAATGAGTCGAAAACCAGCCAGTGTCCAAAGAAAAACTGCAGAAAGCCAAGCAAACCTTTGCTCAAGACCACTTTAACAAACTAATCCATAGTCTGGCTCCTTGGAAAATATGAAAAAGCAGTGGTTCAAGACTTTTGAGCAGCACTGTTCAAAACAGTCAAAATAAGCATCAGTAACTAGTTTTGCACTGAAAATCTGATGTGATGATTTTGTTGATTAATAGATTGTTTGCACTGCAAACTGTTTAAAGAATGTGTTAATATTAAAAATTCCCAGAGTTATTACATAGAATTTAAGTGTACTAAATCATTTCCTGCTTATTTTATTTCGATCAGCCACCCAAAGAGTAACCACAATCTGGATTACATGGTAGAGTCTTACCAAACTGATGCACTGACACTAACTGTCTCCATATCTAATCTGCACAGAAGTTGGGATACAGTGTTCAGTATAATCATCATTTTGAGGATCTCCTACTTCTTTTTCAGCGATGTTGTTCTACCATATCAGGAGACACAATTCACTCGATCCATGATGATCCACGAGATGCCTCCACCGTCAAACATAAACACAAGGTCGATACTTCCAATCTGTCACGGAGTACAAGTTTAAACCTCACATGGACGTTTCAGATGATTTTTTAATCTTTTTAAACGAAGGGTGGAAGAAGGTCAGCTTTTGACTTCATTAAATTCTCCAACACCTGAATTTTTAAAGATTCCTGAGTGTTTTTTTCACTTTGTCCTTCTCTTTTCCCCCTACACCTCCTCTGTTCTCCACAGTC